ATTCAAGAGAAGAAAAAGGCTTGACCAGTTTGCTGAGATGATAAAAACTTAAACATTGTGAAGATTGCTGAGGTGTGGCAGCTCACATCTCAGATCCCAGCTCAGGCTGTAAAGGTATCCGAGAGAAGCAATGGAAAATTGATGGATTCACCTCTTAAATTAGCTCAGGATACCTGAGTCAGTTTATAGTACTGTGATCTCTTAGCGTGCCACCAAAATATCAGCAACAGGACAAAGAAGGGAGCACACACCACACAGATGCTGAACCAGCAGCCTACTGCTGGGCCCTACATGGAGGTACTGCATTGAAGAGTCACACACCCTTGTGTCACCTGTGTGGCTGTCGCTGATGGCAACTAAGGGCATGTCCAAATGCTGGAAAGCTAGAGCCCGTGGAGCTGTCAACTCTTGGTTCATGCAGGGCATATTATCCAAGGCTCTGTCCTCCCGCTCACTCCCCTTACCCTGTGCTGAGTGAGTTTCTTGAGTATGAGAGAGGGAAAGACTGCTTAAAGAGCCTGTTGCATTTTGGTGACTATTTGGGCATGTCAGAGTTAGCAAGCTACGCCTGTTGGATCACACTGTCTTGTGAATGGGTCTGTAGTTTAGTTATTTGGGGGTGTAGCACCATAGCAAGTGCTCACTATGTAGGTCTTCAAGGGAGAGGAGCCTGTCAGCTCTGTCTTGCAACAGCCTGTGCCCAGTAGTAGCCAGGAGATAACTGGAATGATCCCTCTGCTGTTTAGATAACAGGTGGCTTTTGGCGTGGCTGGTTTGATAGGGAATCATTTCCTGTGATGACAGTGTTTTGATCTGTGACCTGGCTGGTGAGAGGGTTGCAGTGCAGTGTGTAGTCTTCTCTCCCAGTGCTTGGCAGTGGCACTGGGCCAAAGCACCTGGCCAGCCACAGTCGCAGGAGAACTGCTCGGCTGGGATGTGTGCAGTAAGTTTATGGGCACTAAACGCATCTTCAGCCTACCATATCTTCAAGTTAATAGTGGCCGGTCGGGACCTGACACCTTAGTAAGTCAGGGGAGATCTGTGCACTGCTCTGACTTAATGCAAGCCTCCCAAAGCTTAGTGGCCCCTCTCGCCCTTCTTGATCGATTATGACAAGGAGGGGCAGCTCTTAGGAGCATTCACATGTTTTCCTTCTCCCACAAGGTACTCTGATGTGCACCTCCCAGTTCACCCCTCGGGGTGGGGCCACATTCCTCCAGATGTCTCAGTTCTGTGGAGCCTCAGAGTCCACTAGCTTCATGTGAGGCTCCCAGGAGCATTGAAAGCTACTTCAGGAAGTGAGCAGAGGGACCTTAGAAAGAAGACAGTCTCTGCCTGAAGGAGGCCGACAACAGCTTCAGGGAGGGAAGGTGAGGTCCACAGCGAGCACTGTAGTCTGCTGAAGCCCTGCTTGCTGGCGAGCATGAGTGCTGAGCGGGATGGCTTGCACGCCAATCCAGTCTTTCTGAAAGCATTTTCACAGAGTGTTCTACATCATAGGTTAATGTACTAGACGCAAGCTATAAGTGGAAAGTTGGCAAAGTCCTTTGGAAATTGGCTGAAGGGCAGGAAACAAAGGATAGCTGTAAAAACCTAAAAAGCTGTTAATTGAGGAATGCCTCAGGGAATGGGGTTGCTACTGGCTTTGTGTTATTTACATAAAAATTATGTGGAAAATGCTATTGAAACGGATTTTCATGCTGGCTAGTGAAACTGCATTAGTAAGCTGTGAGTAGAAATGCACATAGAATTGGTGAAGATTCCAATTATTGATGAAATCAAAGAACAGCATTTTTCAGCCATTTGGTATGAACCCACAGGGTTCCATTGGCTGGATTTTTACTACTGGGTAGACTAATTTCAGATCAAAGGAATCAACTTGCCACTTTTTGGACCAAGAAAGACCATTTTGAAGCCTTTTGGGCACTGTTCACAGGGCACATCCTGAGGTGGGTATTGTCTTCAGTCCTGAAAATACCCGTTTTAGGGAGGGCAAAGGCAGGTGGAAATGCCTCCTAACTACAGATGTGAGACTGAGCCACCTGGCATTCTTCACCTCCCCCGTAACTTATAGTTCCTGTTCAGTGGGACTCAGGTGATTACAGTAGCAGCGTATTGTAGATCAGCCCCAGTGGGAAGCTCTCCAGCTCTCATTTAACACACCGTGGGATTAACATGGTGAGGGAGGACTTGGAGATAGGAGCCCGGGAGTAACGTGCACATTCCTTCCCACAGTCTTAGGAAAGTAGCTGTGTATGGCATCACAGAGTCTAGAGACCCTTTGATTTCCAGGCTGTAGGACTCTTATAGCCCACCTACTCAAAGAGCAGTGTGGTCCAAGTATTTGCACCACTGACATCACCTGGAGAACTACAGGCTCTCATGCCCTTCTCTAGGACTTAAGACGTATTTGTGACTGCCCACCCTCCCTGGCTGACTGATTCACACACCAACGTTAGAGGAAACAGTGCTCCAACACACCCAGCAACCACAGCCAATAAAGCAAAAGGGGGTTGGTTGCTTCCCATCAAGGGAAAATAAGACATGGATAGTTTGAAAAGGGATATCTGAAAATTCAAGTTCTACCTTTCTAGGCTTCACTGACCTCACCTCCACTGGCTGGGAAGGCTTAGTGCCTTCAGAATGTCAGCTCAGCCCTATGTGAGCATACCTTTTGAGGAAAAAAAAAAGTATCTAAAAGCTGGTAGAGTATGCCCTTGAGTGTTCTTCCCTGGAAATGGCTCATGTGCTGGGTTATTAGCTAATTGTTACTATCTTCTCCACAGGTCATCAAGGCCTGGCACCTGTGGCTGCTTTTCATTTGCACTCATTTTCCAAGGTTAAGCATTCTTTTAGTTTCAGCTACCCCACCAGGCTGGCTGCTAACCCATAAACCCAGTCTCTTAAAGGATGTCCCTGGCCTACACAAACCGGTTGTTCCAGAACAAAGCCTGGATTTGAGCTGTCTGGTAGACCTCTGAGAATCCCATTGTCTGTGCCTGAGATGGCCAGATGCCACCAGGAACACCTGAGCAGCAGCATAAGCTATATTCTCTTTTCCTCTTCCCACCCCTACCCCAGTGCTTTCTCCAGGCATGCAGGGGAGCAGAACTGAGGAGGGGAAGTCAATGAGTCATTAAATTGATGTTTGTCCTCAGTCCTACCCTAAGGAGACTTGGTTCTTAAAAATCTTTCTAGTTTTCCAAGGATGACCCTGTCCTTTCTAAGGAATTCATTAGAAAGTGTTGAAATATCATCGTCATTCAAGACATTAGATGAGAGACAGTGTAAAACTTGTCTGATAGCACGCTTCAGAAATGTAACTTTGCCAAGGGTGGCATACTCCTTTAATCCCAACACTCAGAAGACATATGCAGGTGGGTTTCTGTGAGTTCAAGGCTGCCTGGTCTACAGAGTGAGTTCCAGGACAGCCCAGAGCTACACAGAGAAACCCTGGCTCAAAAAAAACAAAAACACACACACAAAAAAAACAAACAAAAAGGAAGGAAGGAAGGAAGGTAGGAAGGAAGGGAGGGAGGGAGGGAGGGAGGGAGGGAGGGAGGGAAGGAGGGAGGGAGGGAGGAAAGGGAAGGAAGGAAGGAAGGAAGGAAGGAAGGAAGGAAGGAAGGAAGGAAGGAAGGAAGGAAGGAGAGAGAGAAAGGAAGGAAGGAAAGAAGGAAAGAGAGAAAGAAAGGAAAGAGAAAGAGAGAGAGAGAGAGAGAAAGAAAGAAAGAAAGAAAGAAAGAAAGAAAGAAAGAAAGAAAGAAAGAAAGGAAAGAAAGAACTTTGTGAGGCTGGAAAGTCATGCAACTGGGAAACTGGGAGAGCTAGTCTGGAGCAAGATTAAGGTTGAGACATACCCAAACCCCCAAAATCTTATCCTAAGACTGACAGGAGTAGGACTCTTCTGTCCTTGCTCTGGGGCTGAATGTCCTGGTGCATGTAGCCTATACAACACCCCCACACACAACTTTGCTACCCTTGAAGTAGTCACCTGATAGCCAGGTTTAAGGTTAAACCACCCCCTTCCTCATAAGGACATGTCCAGCCAGCACCTGAAATTCCTCCTGCAAATGAAGCATTCCTGCCCTGGCCAATGATGTACACTCACCCCGAATACCTCTGCCCACTCTCCAAGGTTTATATAGCCCTGTTCTTCCCCCAATAAAGAAAGCTGTTTCACTGAAAACCATCTCAGACAAGGCTGTTTGTCCTGCACTCACTGCCAGCTGAGATCCCACCTAACCTACCAGCAGGGCTAAGCTTCATTCCTTCCATCCTGGTGTGCAACAATGCCAGGTTACCCCGAGGCCAGAAGCATGCCCGGGTGGCATAGCTTGAGTTTTTATCCTCTGTAACTTGCCCAGATAGGGTTTTGTCAAATATCAAAGCCTCATCCTTACCTGGAGCAAGGGGTGGGTGTCCTGGCCTGTTGGGCCTTTGAGGATATAGGCAAGAAGGATTTCAAATGAGTTCAAACTGAGTATGTCTCCTTGGTCCTTGACAAATATGTATGGAGCCATTTCTTAAAACCCCATATGGACTGAGTGTTCCTTAAAATGGAGGAATCTATTTTTTTCACTTTATATTTATAATACTTGGGAAAGGACAGGCCTTTAATATACACAGAAGAGGAAGGGCAGGCCAGCCCTGTGTTCATCCCGGCTCGCACAGTGCTCGTGTGTAAGTCATCATCACTTCAGCTGTATCCCAAACATTACATTTTCAACTCAGATCTTTCTTGTTGATCATTGAGCCCTTTCCGGCCTCATTCACAGCTGTGAGGCCTAAGCGTCTGTAAGAAGGTCTCAGAGAGAGGTTACTCACTCCATGAAGCTTGCTATGGAATCAAGTACCTTAGAGTGCACCCATGAAAACTACTAGGCAAGGCAGGAAAAAGCAAGGAATCAGAAGCCGCGGGGTTAGAGAGAAGATACAGCTTGTCCCCATCTCCACCGCTGCCCCTGTTTCTCACATTGCAGTATCCCTGCTCTTTTCAGGTAAGAGTCTACGACCTCTCCAAATATGAGCATGGAGCAGATGACGTGCTGATCTTGGCTACTGATGGACTCTGGGATGTTTTGTCAAATGAAGAAGTAGCAGAAGCAATCACTCAGTTTCTTCCCAACTGTGACCCAGATGACCCTCACAGGTTGGTGCCTTTATAAGCGCTGTGTGGTCTCACTTGGATGCATGGCTTACAGCAGAGGCTGTAGGGATAGCTCAGCAAGCAAACTACAAAAGGGAGTACATTGCTTATTAGAGGTATTTTTGTGACTACAGAAAAATCCTCCTTAACTTTATCCAAGATACAGATGCTAAGAAAAAAGTCTACCAACAGGAGCTAAGGATGTTGCTCAGTTATCATGAACAAGGCCCTGGGTGCAATTGCTAGCACCTCCTCAGCGGGGCCTGGTGGTACATGCCTATAATCTTAGCACTTGGGATGTGGCAGCAAGAGGGTCAGAAGTTCAAGGTCATCTTAGCTAAGGAGTTTGAAGCCAGCCTGGGCTATGTGAAACTCTTTTTAAAAAAAAAAAAAAAGATTTCTTTTTTTACTTTTTTTTTTTTTCTGATTAAGATTTGGGATTCCCACAGGTCCCACTGTGTAATGCTCTCTGGCCTAGATCTCACTCTATAGACCAAAGGTGGAAGGGGCCTCTGCCTCTGCCTCTGCCTCTGCCTCTGCCTCTGCCTCTGCCTCTGCCTCTGCCTCTGCCTCTGCAATGCTCGGAAGCAGGAGCCTTCACACCTTCCTCTGTTCCCATATTCTTACTCAGGTTAATTTGGCTTTTGATGGTGCTCCTAAGAAGGATGACGGGGCCTCTCAGTCATTGATCACCCACTAGGAAAAATTTTGTTTGAGAAGTTCACAGGCAAAAGCAGAAGATTACAGTAGAGTTTTCCCTTGTCGTAGTACCATTGGGTTAACCCCTAGCAGTCCTAGAAGTCTCAAAGCCTCTGAAAGAAAGGCAGCTTCAGCTCTAACCCCAAGGAATGATTCAGTAAAGGCCAGCAGAGCAACAGGCAGTAAAGATGAGCCTGCAAATACTCCCTGACTGAGTGGTTAGCCAGAAAATCAAAATAAACACCTTAACTTGCATCAGAACATTGTAAGAGCTTTGAAAACATTACCAAGAATGAAGCAGTCATGGTGGTTCACACCTTCATCCCAGTACCTGGGAGGCAGAGGCAGCTAGATCCCTGAGTACAAGATCAGCCTGGTCTACACAGCAAGTTCCAAATAGCTAGGGCTACGCAGAGAAACCCTATCTGCAAAAAAAATCAAAATCTAAAAAAAAAAAAAAAAAAAAAAAAGAAACTATGATAAAGGAAAGGAGACTAGAAAAATTACCATGCAGTTTTTTTGAATATGTAAATATGGAGCTGGCAAGATGGCTCAGTGATTAAAGAAAATTATAAATCAGTACTTATGTTTTTTTTTTAATCTTTAAAAACTTACTTTTATGTATGTGCACAACATGTATGCAGTGTGCACACAGGCCAAAAGGAGGCATTGGATTCCCTGGAGCTAGGGATAGAAATGATTGTGAGCCAACTTGCGGGTACTAGGAGTTGAACCCAGGTCCTCTGGAAGAGCATCAAGTGCTCTGAATTGCTGAGCCACCTCTCCAGCCCCAAATGGGTACTTCTTAAGAAACTAAGAATGTTAGATGCAGCCCCTCAGAGATGCTAAAGCGGTTGTACACAGACCTAGCACTTACACGTCATAACAGTCTTCTGAAAAGCAATGGAAGGGTCAGGAGACGGTGGGTTATGTCTTTAGTAGACTGAGTGAACAGCTGTCAATCCAGCGCAGTGATTCTCATCCTTTGGTTCTCAACCCCCGTGGGGTCGCCTACCAGATATCTTGTATATCAGATATTTACATTGCGATTCTTTTTTTAATTATTTTAATTTTCATTAATTGTACTTTATTGACTTTGTACCCCCCATAAACCCCTCCCTCCTCCCTTCCCAATCCCACCTTCTTCCTTCTCCACACATGCCCCTCCCCAATGCCACTGATAAGGGAGGTCCTCCTCTCCTTCCTTCTGATCCTAGTCTATCAGATCTCATCAGGAGTGGATGCATTGTCTTCTTCTGTGGCTTGGTAAGGCTGCTCTACCTCAGAGGGAGGTAATCAAAGAGCAGGCCAATTAGTTCATGTCAGAGACAGTCCCTCTTCCCATTACTAGGGAACACACTTGGACACTAAACTGCCATGGGCTACATCTGTGCAGGGGTTCTGTGTTATCTCTATACATGCTACTTGGTTGGAGTATGAGTCTCAGGAAAGACCCCTGTGCTCAGATTTTTTGGTTCGGTTGCTCTCCTTGTGGAGCTTCTGTCCTCTACAGATCCTACTATTTCCCAATTCTTTCATAAGATCCCATGCACTGTGCCCATCAGTTGGCCATAAGTCTCAGCGTCTGCTTTGATAGTCTGCAGGGCAGAACCTTTCAGAGGCCCTCTGTGGCAGGTTCCTACGTTGTTTCCTGTTTTCTTCTTCTGATGTCCATCCTCTTTGCCTTTCAGGATGGGCATTTAGCATTTTAGCCAGAGTCCTCCCTCTTGATTAGTTTCTTTAGGTGTACAGATTTTAGTAAGTTTATCCTATATTATATGTCTATATGAGTGAGTATATACCCTGTGTATCTTTCTGCTTCTGGGATAGCTCACTGAGGATGATCTCTTCCAGTTCCCACCATTTACCTGCAAATTTCATGATTTCCTTGTTTTTTTATTGCTGAGTAATATTCCATTCTGTAGATGCACCACAATTTCTGTATCCATTCTTCAGTTGAGGGCATCTGGGTACATTATGATTCTTAACAGTAGCAAAATTTAGGAAATAGCAATGAAAATACTTTTATGGTTGTGGGTCACCACAACATGAGGGTCACAGTGTTAGGAAGGTTGAAAACCATTACTCTAGAAGATTTTTCGTACGCAGGAAAACTATCACTAAAGAAAATGAATTAAAGAAATATCAAACGTAACAAAAACTGAGAAATTTTATTGCCGAGCAATCTCTGAAGAAAATTCTGAAGGATGTACTCATACAAGAGAAAAAAAAAGACCCAGATGAAAGACCGAAGAAGTCAAGTGGATTATTAAGCTGAAGTATAAGGAAATATGTAGGTGAGCATAGACACACACTGTCTGTATTAGACACCAGGAGGGCTAAGGTTGTTAGAACTAATTTACTGAATTAAAATAGCCTATTGTCCAGGTATGGTGGCACTCACCTAAAATCCTAACACTTGGACATCAGAGATAGAAAAATCACAAGTTCCAGGACAGCTTGAGGTGCATGGTGATGCCATCCCCAAAACAAAAACTCAGCAACAACAAAACAGCATGTCAATTGACAAAGCATAGTAATCAGCTAAATGGGCTGTGTTTATTTAACTTCTGAGCTTTAAATAAAGAATAGTGTAATCCCTCCATTGAGGGTGGGGGGAACCCACATGGAGTAGAGCCATATTTCTGAACAACTGAGAACTCAAGGAGAAAAATTATACTGAAAACTAGAAGCAAACTGGGTTTGGAAAATAGTGCAACATATGGAAAGTGTAAAGGCTGAATTTTGACCCTTCGTGTGTGTGTGTGTGTGTGTGTGTGTGTGTGTGTGTGTGTGTGTGTGTTTTATGAGCTCAGCATAAATCAAGGCTGCACTTACCTCTGACTTAACCAGAAGTGACTGCCTTTCCTCCATGCCATACTCTATGGAGAGCTTCCCCTGTATCCTAAGGCTGTGTCTCAGCCATACCCTTGGCATTTTGACCAAAGAAGAACAAAACAAAACAAAGACTGAAAGAAACCTGGAATCACAGAGAAAGGTGTGCCTTGGTGTTTTTAGCATATATGTTCCATATAAGCACATACAAAAGAATCTATCTAGGTCCCAGGCTCTCCAGAGCCAGAGTGGGAAAGCTCTGTGTCCTGTGTGCTGCAGACTTCCACTTCCAAGACCATGGTGCTCACTGATGCTCTGGAAGCCACAGCATAAAGCCAAGGAAAGGTGTAGAAGGAAAAATAAAGGGCAAAAAGACAACATGTCTACCAAAAGGATAAGTTATAAAGCCAACATTTGACTGTTTGAAAAAGCTCACACATTAGAGAAACACGAAACAAAACTGCAGTGGAATTCCACTTCAGACTCACACAATGGAAGTAAGGCAGTCTCGGAAGTACAGACGTCCTGGAATTCCATGTATAGGTGGGATTCCTCCGCCCAGGGTTGGAAGGCGGGACCGTGGGAAGTTGCAGGTGAAAAAGAGGAAAAAGCAGATGAGACTGATGGCTGCACCATGGTACAGGCATACTTAATGCGGCAGACGAGCACTTTGGATGCAGACGTTAAAATGGTAGCTATAGTCAATCTTATCTTACGTATATTTATTTATAATTATACATAATACACAATATCATATATTATAATGTGATATATAGTATATATAATATTATATAACATAAAAGTATTTATATAATAAAAATCAGTTTAAAAAGGCAAAAAAAAAATAAAGTCAATAAATTTTTTGGAACCGTAATAAGAATGGGTTGCAGTTAATAGTAGTAACTCAAAATAGTAATAACTCAGGTGCAGCAACAATTCAAATGCAAGAAGCAATCATCAACATTTAGGCTGTCCAAAGTCCTGCCCAGCTTGATAATAGGATAAAAGTAGGCATAATTAACAGAGTGGGAAAGTGAGGCCCTTAGCTCAAAAAATAAGCTAAGAGTAAGCCCAGGTGAAGTAAGGCTTACTACTAAAAAGCAAAAATAATTAATTTTTTTAGAAAACGCATAGGAGATTATCCTATGACCTTGAAGTTGGGAAGGATTTCTTAAAAAACACAAATGGGTTTTTGTTTTGTTTTGTTTGTTTTTTAAGACAGATAAGGGTGTACAGATTTTAGTAGGTTTATCCTATATTATATGTCTATATGAGTGAGTATATACCATGTGTGTCTTTCTGCTTCTGGGACAGCTCACTCAGGATGATCTTTTCCAGATCCCACCATTTACCTGTAAATTTCATGATTTCCTTGTTTTTTATTGCTGAGTAATACTCCATTGTGTAGATGTACCACAATTTCTGTATCCATTCTTCAGTTGAGAGGCATCTGGGCTGTTTCCAGCTTC